ATCAAATTTTTGAGGCCAACTTATTAGAGCTAAATGTACCTGTTACTTATGATGAAGCAGTTAATAGTAAGGAATATAAACTATGGCTAGAAGCAATTAATGAAGAACTAGAGGCTCATCACACCAATAATACATGGAGTTATGTTGATAAGGCAGATCAGAGAACTATAACATCGAAATGGGTTTTTGATATCAAAAGAAACCAAAATGGTGAAGTTGACAGATATAAGGCTAGACTTTGTGCCCGTGGTTTCACACAAGTTGAGGGAATAGATTACAAAGAAATATTTTCCCCCACCACGAGGTATGAGTCAATAAGGATACTTTTGTCTATGTCTGCTGAATATAACTGGAAAATAAGACAGTTAGATGTTAAAACAGCTTTTTTGTATGGGGATTTAGAGGAGGACATTTTTATGGAAATCCCTGATGGGGTAAAGGCACCTTCAAATAAAATTTGTAAGCTGAACAAATCCTTATATGGCTTAAAACAGGCGTCCCGTTGTTGGAACAAAAAGTTTACAGATTTTTTATTAAAGTTTGGATTTGTTCAGTCTCAGGCAGATAATTGTGTGTTTGTAGGAAACTTTAATGATGTTAAAGCCTTGCTAATTTTATATGTTGATGATGCTTTGATAATGTCTCAGTCAAATACAGTATTAGATCAAATTGTAAACTACTTAAAGCAAGGATTTAATATCAAAGAATTGAGTTTAAGCCGCTTTGTTGGTCTGGAAATTTTAAAATCAGATAATTCTGTATGTATCTATCAAAAACAATATATTGAGCAAATAATAGACAAATTTAATATGAGTACAGCACACCCCTGTAATACACCTGTTGATGTAAATGTTCAAATAACTAAAAGTGATGATGATAATGAGAAGATTGATTTTCCTTATAGAGAGGCCATAGGGTCATTATTGTTTTTGTCCACAGCAACTAGGCCAGATATTTCATTTGGTGTTAATCTATTAAGTAGATATATTAATAGACCGAGTTTAGAACATGTTACACAGCTTAAAAGAATAATTCGTTATCTTATTAAAACTAAAGATTTATGTATCAAGTATCAAGGTCATGAAAATTTAATGGGATATTCAGATTCTGATTATGCTGGGGATCTAGACACCAGAAAGTCTACTACTGGCTATATTTTTATGTTAAATGGTGGTCCTGTATCTTGGGCTAGTCAGAAGCAGTCCTGTATTGCATTNTTATTTGGACTGCAATTTGAATAGTAATTTATTTAAAAATGAAAAAATAGTAAATGGTAAAGTGTTACTATAATTATATAAATCAAAATAAATAATACTATACATAAAATATTTTATTTTTGTAAATCACATAACATAGCGTTAGCACATATCTATCATATAACTCATTAAGAAGCCTTAAAATACTATTTCCTTTGACTGTATTGAAAAAAAACATTGACTTTTTTCTTATTTTGGCTCTCCTGCAAAATTTCATAATTTCGTTTAGTAACGGTTTAAATTTAAAGGTGCGACGTGTAAATTAAATTATTTAGTGCGATGGCCATGTCAATAATTTATGTAAAACGTTAAAGATTTCCTGGCCTGGACTTGGTATTACATGGATCTCACAACTTTTTACCGTAGAACAACTGAGTTGCGAGACTTGGTTTTTTTGACAAGTATTGTTTTTGATGGTGTAATATTGTCTGATAATTGATGGGTATCTTTTGTTATATATTTTTAGAATACACTGTTATGTTGTATAGAATACACTGTTAAGTTGAACACATAGTAGGTATGTGTAGTTTTTATGTGTTTTTTGTACTTATTATGTATAGTACCTTTGAATATTTCTATTAGTTTAAGAGATGTTAATAGGTTAACTTTAAGCTTATGTATATACACCGTGTTACTTTGCATTCTTGCCATATTCACAGGGATAAAAGTAGGGAACAATACCTATTATTTACGATAAACAAAAGACTCCCATAAAGAAAGTACACTAAGATTTTAGTAAATTTGGTTTTTCGGTACAAATNTTTTTTTTTTATTTGACATTTGGTGTCATTTTGTCATTGATTCAATCCCGCCTTTTTCGGTTGTCGTTGTATGTTTTTGTTTTGCTGAAATATAAGTTTGAAGCTGAAGAAATCTTGTGTTATCATTTCAAAAGCGAATAACAGATACAAGTATCTTCGAAGAGAACACCCCGGGTCTTAAATCCGTTTAAAGCTTCTTACTTATTTACTCGATGTTATTTTGATCCTCGAGAATCGAGTGAATGTGTTCGAAAGGACATCGATATTATAATATTTTTTTTTGTGAGTGATTCATCACCCTATTGTTTTTGTCGATCAATAAATCAAAGAGAAATTAATTCAGATTTTATTGATTGACGAAATAAGATGATGGAAAAGAACGGTGCAAATAGAATAAAATCAATACAATTCTTACATCTTCTAAAGATCTTGTGTCAGTATAGTTAATGCTTGCAAGACCTAATTTCCTATCGCCCTTTCTTTAATATTATTTCCACTTGACCATGGTCTTAAAAAGTGACTTCTCAGTTTCATTTTAAGATCTTTTTCTCCCTATCGTAATCGTACCATGAACTAATTTCTACGTTATAAGATTTAACAGATCAGGCTCACTATCTGTAACACCCATTAAAATTAAAGCAATTAATATTAATGATCTCAGTAAATGCTGTATAAATCTTATTTAATTATTTTCAGAGATATGACTACGGCGCCGACAAGGACTTCAGAAGTCCATCAAATTCCCGAATGGCGGCAACAAACCATAAGCCCGTAAGTCTCAGCAGGTCTACTCCGAAACACTGTTTTTCAGTTTAGAGTCTATCTGTCACTTTCACTGATGTAACATCTCGCCTTGCGTGAGAGGGATGGCAACATTCGAAAATTCGGATAACGTTTTTTGGTGTAACCCCGTAGCTTCTTATTCGATTCTCGTTAAATTAAGCTGCTTTCAGAAATTCCCAATTAGTTGTAAACGTCCAATGGAAAACCTTCGAAAACTCTAATAAAGCTTTTGATAATATTTACAATGTTTTCAAGTATTCATTTCGTCCACGAGTAAGCAAAGCAAATTCACCTAATTCGATCACAGATACATTAAAACTTTGCATTATCTATTAGCCATATCAATTTCAGGTTTGATTTTTTACTTTTAGTTTATAATGGTCTTATTCACCAAGGGTGTATTTTGGGTCCAGTTTTCCAACTAATTAATGAACATAATTTATTTACCTCGAAAACATTGTATCAGTAGCTTATCCCGGGCAATTATATTTCTGCTTCCCTAGAGTGTAGAGAACCCTTAGATTTTATTCGCCAAATTAATCGCTCTCTCGGCGGTTGACTAATCGCTGTCTCCAGTGATGAATTTGATTTTACCATCGACGGGGAACGAGGGATCACTTTAGTATTTTTTATTTTTCGCATCGACGAGACGAACTAATGGGTTGTCTTGCGGGTTTACTCCATGAGTAATATTTTAGTGTCACTGAAATAATAAATTAGTTGGATAGATTAGTAGAAGAGAATTGTATTATGAGTTACCTATTTGATACATTTTATTCAGTTTAAACTCTTTAGATAATGAACCGTGAAGTAGCGAGTTTTGCTAGACAATTCTAGACAAGTAATTAGTGAAATTAAATATAATTTATCAGTGGAGTACAAGTCTCTTAAAATTGTTGAATATCACTGTTTTATTATTTCAGAATTATAACCTGACATACATCGATAAAACTGAAAATATAGTACGTGTGCCGATCTTAAAAAATTCACACGACGATCACAAAAACAAAAGAAAAAAATCGCCCAAGAGAACAATACAGAAGATCATCAAGAAGAATAACAAATCAAGAAGGAAGTTGTATCTGAATCAAGCTACCAGTACGCCGACTAAAGCGCCTCTCAATGATGACCTCGACAATTTCTATGCCCAAGAAGAAATGATGCAGAAGAATGAGAATTTAAATACAACTCAAGTTAATAATAATAAGAAAAAGAAGAAGTGGAATAATAGAATAACAAGATATCCAATGCCCTTCCAAAGTCTTGGGCCAAGGAGAGATTATCATAAAAGGAATAAGAGAAGCGATGACAGAGAAGATGTATTTATATTAACTGATTTAGATGAAATCGAGTTTTTGAAGAGCGACAAAGATGATAATGTCGTTAAAGCTCATTTTAAGAAGTACTGGTGATTATAGGATATTTATAAATTAAGTTATTGTAATTTCAGAAGTACAGTTAATAAACCTTTTATATTATTTTGGTATTTATTTACATCTTCATTGGATTTTCATTTAAGCTATAGAGAGACCATTTGGACATAAGAAAACAACAGGGTATAAAAACAAATTTAATCTATAAAAACTTGACAGCTTTATTAATTACATTAATAAATAAAATCAAACAAAAAAGTTCTGACTTTCTTAAACTTAGTACAATGACATAGGATACCTATTTACAAAGTATTCGGCTGATATGACAGCCGAATGCATTATCAAGATGTTAATAAGGTCGATCACATACTGTCTGTCTTGTATACAATGTGACTTTCGATTTCGCTTCATGATAACGATCGCTTCGCCAAGTGCTTGCTACTTAGAAAACGGACGCTGATTCTGACTCAATTATATCTGACTCAAATGTATGTGAACAACCTTAGACATCACAATGTAGCTTACAAACTACTTAGAATAAAGAAGACGAAGAGAGAAGATAGAGAAAAGGCAGTATTTTTAAGACAAAACAAATCAGAAAATAAATTGCTTTTGTTTACGAGGTAATAAAAAATAAGTAACAGAAGAAATAATCAATTATTTAAGAACCAGACGTTAAGCTTATTCCTAAATATAAGGAAAATGTCTGACATCCAGATATTTGTTTCCATGACAGATTCACTCACTCACATTCGTCATCTTGAAGTCTCTTTTGTATGTTACAAACTATTGTAAATATGACAACGACTTTTAAAAGGTTTCTTCAGTCTTACGCATTACCAGCTTGGATGTCCTCACCACCTTTCTTGTTCCTGTACTCCCAACCTTGGTAGGCGAGATCCTGAGGGTTGTGGTCTTGTTCCCTGAAGGAGATACCTCCGGAGCCATAATTGTGACCACCCTGCTAAATAAAGAAAAAATATGTGATAAAATTAGAAAAATATTTGTTTCTCCGCGATTCAGAATACAGATAACGCCATCTATTGGTTCAAGTGGGAAATTGTTTAAATATCAATAGAAACATTCAATTTAAGTTATAAAAGATTAATGATGGTAATACAATTTTAAAGAATGCCACCAGCGTAATTCCATTATGTCAAATATTATAATTTTCTAGTTCGACATGCGAAGAAACAGGCAAGACGTTTTTAATAATTCATGAATGTAGAGCGCCCCAAAATGTCGAACATGATCCTATTACACATTCAATGGATATTGATTAAAATATAACAAACAGCCGAACCTTAAACTTAATTATCCATTAATGTCTAAATCCAATCAAGTTATACTAACCTAGATAAGTTGATAGAATAAACAGGTCGCATTTTATACTTTGAAATTGAAATTCAGTAGGTAGATTTTCATCAAAATCATTTATTCAGTTTAGACCACTTCTAGAGATCTCATGGCTTTTTTGTATTTTATACGATATTTTGAGTACTTATTTAGTAACAAACGGCTTCGCCCGCTTGGAATTTTGTCTGTCACAGAAAACTTTTATCGCGCGCGTCCCGTCCCTGTTACAAAAACCGGGTTAAAAACCATCCTATGTCCTTTCCCGGGACTCAAACTATCTCTATGCCTTTAATCAAAATCGGTTCAGTGGTTTAGGCGTGAAAGCAAGACAGATAGACAGAGTTACTTTCACATTTATTATATTAGTATAGATTTGTTATGCACAAATTACTATAGTCTGGTCCGTGAGCACGTAGAATTTTGTCCAATGACCCCTAGCTACCCATCCTTATCGCTCGCGCGTAATTATATTGCTGTCGCGACTGGCACCCGCAGTGAGTGTGCGAGCGCGATAGCAACACAATTACGCGCGAGCGATAAGGATGGGTAACTAGGGGTCATTGGACAAAATTCTACGTGCTCACGGACCGGGCTTTAATAGTCTCATTAATCCCTCCAGCTGAGCTTCAGCAGTGTTCAGAGTGGGTTCACCACATTAACCCAATAATGACGAACCATCGACTCTCGAATCGACCATAATCCGATTCACCACAATTTGTGAAATAGCTGCCTTAATTGATGTTATACTGATACGTAAATATGAATGTAACTAATTATAATGTTCAAAATATTAATTAGTATCGTATATCTAATTAATATTAAAACTATCTCTTGAGATGAACTTAACTGGTGTATCTTTAGGCATATTATTATAGTGCTCAACATTCTCTTTGATAATTAGCAAAGTCTGAAGCTATGTCTAAACTTTAGGCTTTGATAATAACAGAGGCCTAAATGATTTAGGATCATAGCTCCTTTGTTATAATATTCTTTGACAGGGCGTAGATCAAAGTGGCGATGGGTGTTTAAGTGTAATACTCGTGTGTAGTATGAAATGGAGCTAATCCAAGTCTCATGTCGTAAATAATAAAGAGAGCCTTTGTCTTAGTATATAAATCTAACGCCTAACTCAGTGCCTGAGGTATGGGAGCGGCACGGGAGGGGTGACATTGACATATTATGACGTGACAGAGCATAGAAATCTGAACGAGATCTGCCCCCCTAGACAAAACGCACTTTTTGATCGAATCGAAAATCGAATCCGTCAAAACTCCATACAAAAAAGGGGCTTTTCGACCACTTTTCGACTGGTTTGCGATTATAATGTGCACTTTGTCTAGACCCACTGTACGCCAAGCACGAATAACTTGCGTAAAGGTAATAGTATCGTTAACGTAAATAATTTGTATGAGAATCTGAGAGCGCCTCTATCGGACGTAAAACAAACTAAATTTGGCAGCACAAATGCCTATTGTATAGTAACGTAATCGTACGGTAAATGTATCGTATGATGTTTATACTAACTTTGTGATCACGAACCTTTTTTTGACGTATAGAATAGTAAGTGGCGATAGCTGGCTAACGTAATCTTACGAATGTTTTGTCACGGTAAATTTTTCAGTGTTAAAACTTGCGTCGGAAGTAAAAAGTGTTTTATAAATACATTTCAGTGGGTTTTAATACATAAATTTACGTAAATTGCAAGGAGCGCGTAGAGTTGAACGTAGTGCATTGTATTATTATCTTGCAACAAGATTACTTGAGATTGAGGGAGGTAACAATGAACAAAGAGAAACTAGGTAAGTACGTGATAAGTTTTTCTATTAAAAAAAGCTCGATGTCGAAGTCTCGATGACGTTTGGCGTTACAATAACACCCTCCTGTATCGCTTCCACACATCAGCCACTGGCTGAGTTACGTGACCTATAAGACCACCCAGCTAAAATCTATGTTAGTTTTCAGCACGTATGTGGTATTCAAATTCCTTTTTTTTTCTGCTGGGTCTTTCCTAAAGAGCGCCATCTAGCACGATCTTCCGCATTGACCTTCAGCTACTTTTATTCCACCATTAATTAGAATTCCGAAATGCGTCTGATACAACCCGAAAGAAATAACTGCATACCTCGCTGGAATGCGACTCTCCCTCCCCGCGTTCGCCCCGTCCATACCAGAGCGTGTGACGTCATGACTGCTAGGTGCGCAGTTAACTCGACCGGGTTACAGCCTTTTACCTTGCTACATTCTATTTGCTTAACAAAAATAAACTTACAATGTATCCGTCATAGTGTCCATATTGCGCTGGCGAGTGCCCCTCTCTGTAAGGGCTTTGCAAGCCGATGCCAGCAGGGGAGTATTGGGGGCCCTTGTAGTGGGACGAAGAGAAGGGTGAACTGAGGTTGGGCTTGCAGAACTTGAAGTAGCCAATTACACCTGTAAAGACGATAGATACGTAGGTAAACTTATCACAGAGATTAGTTAGATAGATAGGCTCTTTATTGTATACCACACAAAACTGACAAATAAAAATAGTACGAAACGGCACAATTTTAACCAGCAAATTTTTGGTCCAGTAGGTCTAGGATGTGCGCCACGATAAACTTTTATCTATGAATTTAATCGATTTCCACAATAAGCATGCATTTGACGACTAAAATCGTCGACAAGAATTTATCATGACGCGTATCCTAGCCCCACTAAACTTGGCAACAATTTTAACGCTCTTGAATCTCTGCTCGTAAATTTTGTTGTGCCCAATAAATTATTGTTTGAACAAATCAGCGCCTGTTTATTTTTAATAAGGAAGACCTTCCCTCTATAATTGGTCCTCCGGGCCGGATCAACAGACAGGAATTATTATGGTATCAGAATATTTTGGTACAAGCATTTAGTTGCGAGAGAGAGATTTGAGTATGATATTTGCGTAATCCAGTTTTTAAATTGACTAGATTATAGTTTGAACTAGTAATTTACTGTAAAATATTGCCTTTCACTTATAAGGTTTGCCTCCCCCAACTAGGGTTGCCAGGCGTCCGGCTTTAGCCCGACATGTTTGGCTTTTAGGGTCTTGTCCGGCCTGTCCGGCTTTTGTTAGGCTTTTTATTTGGTTGCCGCGCCAGGCGAAAGTCGAGCCACAGAATCATATGAAGCGCACGCATCAGGATCTTGGTTAGCAACCGATGATGATAGTACTCACTCATGAGCTGACACTAATTGCACCCCCCCCCTCCNTTGTGATTTTGGACCTGGCAACCCTACCCCCAACCCGTCTGGCTAGCGTGGGGAGTGTGTAAGTCAAATCCTCCAATTGCCTCTAGGATCGTGTTGTAATAGAGACTAAAAATGACCTCTCACTATATTAGTTTTTCTAGTATTTTTTTTTATAATTACCTGGGACGATCAAGGCCATGAATCCTAGGAATTTCTTGAAGCTAGCCAAGCCTAGAATGAGGGGCAGGAAGAGAAGCAGCTTCAGCTTGAACAGCTTCAGGATCAACAGCATCGGGATGATCAGCTTCTTTAGCTTATGACGACCTGTTAACAAAAAAACACATGAAACAAAGTTCGAAGTTTATCTCTCTTTCTCTCTCGACGAGGCCCGATATACAAGAAATATGTCGCGGGAACTATTCTCATCTGAAATTACAATGAAAATTAAATCATGTTAGGAAATAATTATAATAAAATGTTTTGCAGTTAATATTATTGTTAGAGTTCAAGGAAGGGTAGTAGACTATTTTGATTGTAAGTACTTAACCCAGACAAAATAAATACACAAAGTATTACTCGGAAATTAAACAGTGTTGTTTGTCCAATTAACAATCTCATGTTTTCGCTTTTAACTAAGTAAATTGTTATTAATTATTATACGTAAAATGCCATATTAATGTTTTCTAGGTTTCTCCTGCCTCCAGCTTCGCAGAATGGTGCTTGATACAAACATAGAATCTATACTAATATTTAAATAAAATAAATAAATAAAAGGTATTTATTTCAGGCATAGCCCATAAAAGTGTTAGTAACAAAGGTCTTATAAATAATTAGTAAATCACACAACAACCTATACATAATTAAATACCGACAATTTATAGCTGAAGAGTTTTGACTGATAAGTTTTTTGTTTGAAAGCGCTAATCTCAGGAACTACTGGTTCGATTTAAAAAAATATTTTTGTGTTGGATAGCCCATTTATTGAGGAAGTCTTTAGGCTATCTAACATCTCCCTTCAGCTAATAGGGTCGGAACAGTAAAGAAAAATGTTGCAAAAACGGGAAAATATTATTCAAACTATTTTTACGTGTTGCGGGCACAGCTAGTCTAAATTATATAACTCAAAGGTGACTGGCTGACTGACTGATTGACTGACTGACTGACATAGTGATCTATCAACGCACAGCCCAAAACCACTGGACGGTATCGGGCTGAAATTTGCCTTCCAGGTAGATGTTATGACGTAGGGCATCCGCTAAGAAAGGATTTTACGAAACTCTACCCCTAAGAGCGTAAAACGGGATCCACGCGTACGAAGTCGCGGGCACAGCTAGTAAAATATATGTACCTACTTATACCAAGAATCGGAACGTGTTTCAGAAAACCGCTTGGCAAACTATTAAAAGTCATTTACCGAACTAAAGCCAACTTCCCCAATTGGATCTGGTTTGGGCAGTTGTTAGTTGGTACTTGGAGGGTATTCTAAATTAACTTAACTAGGATCAACTTCTCTTTAACCTTCGTGTTTTACCTGTGTGTATTGGACAGTTTTATACTAGAGAAAAGCTTTGCTAGCATACGGAAATCCGCTTCTTGAACAATCCCCTTCATTTTAAATGTAGGTAATAGTAGGTGAATTAATTAAGCTAATAGTGAATTAATCAAGTTAATTATTTTGAAAATAATAAATATTCAAGTCTGCACTCAATAATAGCCCTCAACAGCGCCCACATCAAATACTTTGCTACATGGTCCTTCGAGACAGATATGTGCCAGCGATCTATGATTTATATTATACACTCTACTCATAAAAAGTAGGTGTCAGCTACCTTATTAAAGATAACAATCAGTCATCAAGTGAATACCTTCAAAATCAAAATAAGTACACTTTTCTTTACAAACGATATCAAATGCCAGTGATTAATCCAAAGCCGGAGGAACAATTAATTTTAATTAGAAGCAGTCAATCGCTTTCCTTGCAAATGGTGGCCATTTGTCAAAACCGTCTCTGTGTACAGTCAGCAGCAAATTCTAGTATCTTAAATGGTCGTAATAAGAGCGATTTTACAACGAAAGTTTATGGTCGGATGTGCTTTTGTACCTTTTATAATTATTAAGCAGACTCTGTGGTAAGCCGACAAGAAAATTATTAAAATACATAAATTGCGAAGTCCTGAACTAAATATACTGATCTGCAAAACTTACGCCAGTATTCACAAACGATGCTTGCTTAAGTGAAGCAGCAAATCGAACGCACAGCGTTGAATAGAGCTCTGTGATTGGTTCGTGTGTCACCCTGTGCGTCCACGCGCACTGTGAGACTTCATATTAATGTTTGTGAATACGGGCAAACGTGTAAGTATCACACTTTTAAATTAACAGTACAAAAGATAGTAATACTTTCGAAATAGATTTGAAAAAGAGTGTAAGGGCTCGTTCCCATGGCAATTCAGTTATTCGGTAATCAGCATCCCGCAAAACTGGACTGTCGTGTGAACGCACATAATGTGTGTTTGAAATTCGAATTACAAATTCGAACGGATCGGTTTTTTGCGGGAAAGCGCAAACGGGATGTTCATGTGAACGTTAATATTGTTTTACAATAAACGGGGTCCTGCAAATAAAAAATCCTGTAAAAAAACGGGAACAAGCCAAAAGTGTGCTTAAAATAATGAAATCCCCTCAAGTGTAATTCAATGTTATTACTTTTCAATACATTTCATATCAAAGAATAAAAACAGATTTTCTTTTAGGGAAAATTAATTTCCATTCACGTAAACGTAACGTGAATTCAATGAGTTTCAAAGTAAACGTTTGAAGTATATCAAAATGTTCGATATTGAAAAATTTTCTTACAATTTTTCAGACGAAGAGTATAATTGTGAATATGCCTACGCATCGTTAGCACTTTTGTAGTATTTTCACACAAAAGAAACTTTAAAAAATGAGTTTAATTTTCAATATTATTCCGCTCTATGGACTTCAATCGTCCGTCGTTCAATTTGGGAGAAACTTTTTTTATAAAAATAAATGTTTTTTTTAACATTCGTGTATTTGAACTTTTGGCTGTAGTTGTACGATGGAGTTTTAAAAATGCGAGACCTCCACAGATTAGAAAGAGTCGTCTTCATGGCCAGACAGAAAAGTTTTGACAGTAAAAAATACAAGGAGTTTTGTTTAATGTTTGAAATTGGAATCGACAAAAGAGTATAGAGCTAAAATTCTCTAAAATGTCTGAGTAAGGCGGTTATCACACTGCCCCGCGCTCCGCCGCGGAGCGCGCGGCGACAGATTTAATCATTGTATGCAAGTATCTCAGTTTGTATAGAAAACACGCGCGGTACTTCACACTGACAACGCGTCCGCGCGCGTGATTTTTTATATGAAAATCACGCGCTCCGCGGCTGAGCGCGGCGCAGTGTGATAACCGCCTATGGTTTCAGTTCAACCACATAATATTAGGTATTGTTCAACTGTGATAAGGCATGTTCTATGTGTATTAGAATTCTCATAAATAAAGGAATTCTGTTGTATTAAGTTTATACTCACGGAAAGGAGGAGCCTTCTTATCCTCGATGATGTCGACCTCATCAGCGATCTCGTCCAGGAACCTGGGGGCGATGACCCCGTTGGAAGTGACGTCATCATCCAGGTGCATCTCTAGAGCTGTTGATCTTAGGAATCTGAAAAGAAAAGATCAAAGTCAGAAAGGAATTCACGATTCAATTGTTTTATGTAAGTAATTTACGAAAAATATTAATGATGTGTTAGCATACTACTCGTATAGAGCAGGTTTGGCGAACCTTTAAGTATCAACGTGCCACCTTTTCTAAAAAATATATTTCTTCTTCTTGTCGTGTCGACAACAAACCTACACAGTGTCAGCCCAAAACTCTGCCACCAGAGTGGCGTTGTCAGTAGCCTTCATTAAATTGTCCTGAGAGCAGTTGATAAAAAATATTTGATGTAGTCATAGACATACTCGCTTTGCAATGGAGGGAAGTCGAACCTTAGCTTCGAACTCCTCATATGTTCTTTGTTGCGACCAATGACAGTTTAACTTTCCCCCGGGACGAACTTGACCTTCACTGGTTGGGTTCTTATTGGCGGTCAAGCTGTAGATCCTGGCTACACAGGAGTTGCAGCACTTGCAGCGGTGGGAACAAGAGGAGGGAATAGTCCCGTGACAAATAACACCTAATGCTATCAAAGAGGAGTGTCGTACAAGTTACAGGACTTTACTCTCCAGTGGCGCCACTGATGAGGGCAATTATTCAAAACACAATAAGTACTATTTTATTTCATAGTGAATTTTGTAATTAATGGCGTGACCTTAATATTGTGGCGCGCGCCATTAGTTCGCCATCTCTGCTATATGTCATTACTCTTAAAAAGAAAAGTCGCTCGAGCGTTCTGTTCTAACATATTGTACATACTCATCATGTAACGGTTAGCGTTACCGCTGACCTTTATCTTAAATCTAAATTCTAATTTAATTAATATTATCTACCTACCTAAATAAATAAACTTAATAATAATATATCTAAATCTACGTAAACTACCTAACTAAATGGCTTAATTGAATAATTCATATTGTTCTACACTAATAAAATAAATAAAATAATAAATCTACAAGCAAACCCGCGCGAAACAAGTTGTTCAATATTTCTTTTGTTCTCTGTCGAGCGGGCGGACTGTTTTTTATGCATGCGCAAGCGACGCGCCTACGGCCGCGATGCTCCCGCCGCGTCTCCTAGTCCGAGCCAGAGCGTTATTGAGCACGGACGTATCGCTGTCCGTCACCGCCGGACCCGCGATGTTTATAATATCTCAAAAACTAAATATGTAATCGCGTATTGGTGAACCCCGCTACCGGGTGAGTGTTGCAAAAGTATTTTTAATGCCTAGATTTTGTACTTGTGCTAAATGTAAGTACCTAGCCGCCATTTTGTTCTTGAAATGTGCTATCCATGTGCTCGGTGTCATTTCATACAAATTTCCTATTTCTATATCTTCTTAATATTATTATTTTACAACTTACTACATGATTAAATAAGTAAACTAAATATTTTATGAAATGACATCGACACGTCATGACCTTACATGACCTTGGTCGTACTGTAACGACACCTTCTAAAATCTATTTAATTTACTAAATTGAACTATTCTAATCTTATTCTACTGTTCTAATTATTCTAAATTATTGCCTACCTATATTGTTCTATAAATTAATTGCCTATATAGATGATATTCTAAATAATTATCTACCTACATAATTTAATATTTTTGCCTACTTCACTGCAATCACTTTCACTGCACCTATTGTAATTCTGTTTGACTGCCACATCATTACATCACCATTTATTACTAAAATCATTCCATCTGCTTCGCTAGTATTTTGATGTCGCAGTCAAACGGACAAAAGCTAGCAACTGCTTTAGTGTCCGCTTTGATTTGCAGGGTTCATCTTCACCTTCATCTTCTACGCCTACCTACTACACCATGCATGGTCACCACTGCCGAAACTACCACCTGGGTCTTCAACCCGGCAGAGCTGCCTGTCGTGTCGGACGGCCCGTACGCACACTCTAAGTGGCCCTACACCACAGTGCGTACGGTCCCTAACCGTCTGGCGCGTCGACGACTCTGCGGGCTCACCACCAGCGAAGAACCAACCCACATCACCATTAATACTAGCGAGGACAGTGGTTTGAATATACTACCACCGGTGACGAATCTCGTGCGATACGATAGTTTGCTCGTAACTCACACCCTTAAGGTCTCTTACTCTTTATTCTAAATAAACTACTTGTTAACCTAATCTATCTTTTATTTATCTAACTATTAATCTAAATTCAATTATGTCACTTGGCCTAAAGCGTCTAACCGTGACAATCAACGAAATTCCAGTAAGTATGTGCGAAATCTTTGCAAGAACTTTTTGTACAAATATTATGAGACACGTGTATTTCTAAAGAATTACTCATTTCCAGAAACATTTGTACAAACATTTGACACGTGTCTGTTACTGTCAGAAGAAAATTTTTAATGAAGGAAGTTTTTACTCTTAAAATATGTACAATCAAAATTGTAAGAAATTGTAAGACGCAGCGAACGCGCCGCGCAATCGTGGCGTCACCGCCGCGTCGTCGCTCCGCTTTGAAAACGCTTGTAACACAAAATATAACAGAAGGTAAACTCATGTATGTACCTCGCTTTGCATGCATACCTCTCTCGCTCGCACGCTCGGCCGTCGCGCTAGGGTTGTCTTGTCATGTGTTGCGTTTATTTCGTTATGATAGAAAAATGTTACTCTTAATACTATGCAAGAAAGACAATAACAGATATCCACGTATACTTATTTATATTTAGTACGTTATTATAGTAATAGTTTGCAAACAAATACACGAGAAGGAAGTAGTATTTAGTTGAGTGGTTGACACTATTATCCAACTATCCAACTAATAATATAAATGCGAAAGTTTGGATGTCTGGATGTCTGGATGTTTGTTGTTCTTTCACGCAAAAACTACTGAACGGATTTTGATGTAACTTTACAGTATTATTGTTTATAACCCTGAATAACATATAGGCTATAATTTATGACGATCTGTGACAAACTAAATTTCACGCGGGTGAAGCCGCGGGCAAAAGCTAGTTATCCAATAATTCCTAAAACCTCTCTAAAACAATTCGATATTCCTAATAATTGAGTTGGCTTTCAATTTCAATTGAAATTCAAATAAATAACTTACTTACCTCCCCGAATCAACTGGTAATTTAAAAAATGAAAATTTGGTATTTAATTATGAGTTTAAGCAACCAAATACCGAACAATTATAATACGACTTTTTCTGTTCACTCATTTTCGTCAATTTCGCAAAACAAAATAATATCACAGGCGGTTGACCGGCGCGTGACTCAAGCGAACCACAGCGAACGTGTGGCGAACGTCTGTCGCGCCACGTCGCGCTCGCATTCGTCCAAGACAGTCTTGCTAGAGCGGTGTCTATGTGTGCGTGGCTCGAGCGCGTTTAGTATGGAGTTTGTCTTCTGTTATATTTTGTGCTTGTAATCCACAAGTGTGGCAAGTCTGTAAGAATTTTTGGCAAAGGTGGAGCGACAGTGTTCCAGGAAAAAAATGAAATCATAATATAAAATAAAGGGTTTCTAAGGAAATCACTGCGATAAATTCTTGAATGGATTCCACCTTATTTCATCTGAAGAGAGTTGTTTACTGATATCTATTTTTACTCAACATTATTGTTTGTATATGATATTTAACTCAAAGGTTGAAGAGGGTACCTTTTGAATCCTTATCAGCACTTTACTGAAAATTTCTGGTACAATTTTTCATCTGTCATTCCACGGGTAGGGTCTATGGTTCCCAGTAAAGGTTTGAAAGTTGACAGCAAATCAGATTATACATTATATTCCAAAATAGAACCAATTGGGTTTTTGCCACCACTCCCTAAAACTCTAAAACACAATTTTTTTAAAAAGGCACTTCATTCTGGTCTTAAAAACTTAACAAATTTTAAATTACCTGTAAATTAAGATTTTTGATTGCATTGTAATTGAAAAAAAAAGTAGTAGTGTTGACAAAATAGTGACGTCACTGGATAGTATGACAGTCTCGTTTTGATAGTTTTAAAAAGTATGCCAATTGATTGGTGGTGGCAAATACCCTATTGCAACTGGACAAGATCCGTTAAAACAATAAATTAGATTAGACGAATTCTACAGCAAAGTTTTTTTCAGCATCCCTGTGGATTTTTTCGTTTAATAAATATTATTAAGAATTATGTAGGTTTCTACTGCTGAAACAATTTCAAAATCAGTTCTCACAAACTGTAATGTATTGGTTTTTATTTCATCTGTAATAGGTACTGTCTCAGACCTTAATACAGTCTGAGAACCTCACAAAATTATTTCCAGCATCTCAATTTTTGCCTTGCCTCAGAAATTAATATGAGAGTAAAATGAACTTATATTCCGGGCCGGCACTCTATCATAATTATTTCTAAGGTATGTAATACCCGTGATTTAGACGAAGGCTAAAGGAGCGTATAGACTAGAGCAGTGTTTTTCAACCTTTTTTATGACACGACCCCCCTAGTATGAAAAAATATTTGGCGACCCCCTGACCACAACTGGTCGGGCCATTCGCTTTTTTTTTTCATGCGTTTTATAATGTTACAAAGATGTTGTAGGGATCGAATACTTCAATCCATACAACCTTTACCCATTTGCATAATTAGATTTTGGACAAATCTATCTTAACATTTTACTGTATTTTTTTACTGAGGTTTTTCGACCTCTCGCGACCCCCTTATAGAGGCTTACCACCAGATTGAAAAACACTGGACTAGAGCATTTTGGGAACCCGTTTTTTGCAGGATCCCGTGTTTTAATAACGTTCACACGAAAATCCCGTTTGCAGTGTTCCGCAAAAAACAGAGGGCTTAGTGTGAGTTTACATCAAACGTCGTCACTAGCGAGCGCGTTAAAAAAAAAGAAGAATTTAGTTCTTGAAAGTTTCCGCTAGGGGCGCTGTACAATCCGTCATACATTTAATGTCACTTTTTTATGCAGTCGACATCGAATGCGTTTGACGTAAGCTCACACTACCCCCTGAACCGTTCGAATTTGTAATACGAATTTCAAACACACAATGTGTGTTCACTGTTCATACATCAGTCTAGTCCTGCATTACTGGATCCTGCAAATCTTGATTGCCGTGGGATTATTGCCGTGCCCTTTTAACATAACTACAAGCTGTTCTATGAAATATTCTAGTGTCAGTGTCAGTGTCACCCTTTTACGAACCAAACGTCGTACATTTTATAGTTGTTGCAATTCACGAACGCGAGTGAGCTTTACATGTGTGGTGACTCGCTACTGTTCGTTTTTCAAAAGTTTTGATACACATTACACTATCGTTATGTGCATGTGCCTACACACAAAAGAAAAGCTCACTCGCCTTCGTGGGTTGCAAGAACTATACCAGTGTTTAAAAAATGTATGAAAATTTTAGTTTTTAAAGGTTTCCCGCTAGGGGCGCTGTACAATCCGTCATACATTTAATGTCATTTTTACGTACGATTTTACGATGTAAACTCACACTAGGCCCACTGTATTGTACCATTCGTACGAACGTTAGGTACGTAGAAACGCTCTAGTCCAGTGGTTCTTAACCTTTTAGTCACGAGGGACCATTTTACCAAATGTCTGTCTTGTCAGGGACCACTTTTTTTTCAAAATCCTATGAAAGGGAAGGTCGATTTCTCGCCCACTGTGCGCCGTTTGCGTTGTGTTGACTCGACTCATCATCACGTCACGTCACTTCTTTATTACGATGTCTTCGTGGACCACTTGGAATGCCTCCAGGGACCACCAGTGGTCCGCGGACCACCGGTTAAGAACCACTGCTCTAGTCTATACTCATCTTAACGAAGGCTTAGCGAGAGGCAAGATTGCTTTGTTTTGTTGCTAATTAATTATTTTCTAACACATTGTATTCTCGGCTTGATAGCTGTTGATCCTTGATTAATTATGGTTATAAATTCACTCTGTGAAGTGTGCAGATTACACCCGAATGTTGAAGTACTTTAATGAGCTGTCAAAAGGATGTATAATTAATGTTTATTAATTGATTTCTGAGAAAGCTAATTTTGATAAAAGGGGATCTAATTTCATAGGTAAAATATATTTCCATATTATTTTACAACAAAACAAAAACGACGAGTTGAACAACCTATCTTTTACCGTAACCGGTGTTTTTTGTATGGAGCTGGAAACATTGAATTTTCGGATAGTTCCAGTTTATTCTTTAACCTATTATTAGTACCGTTTGATAGAGCTCATGAAGCACTTTTAGGATCAGTAACTAGTTTTTTTGATATCTTGTATAGTTTAAAAATAATCGAGTGAGATCACTTATCGTTTCCACCCTGTATTGTTAAAGTAAGATAGTATAACCCAGCCTAAGTCACAAAATACTTGAAGGTTACCTAACTAATAAGGTACTTATTTTAAAGTGTGTATTTTCAAAGAATATAGGTAGAAATAAAATATTATGCCTTTAGTTATAATAAAGTTTTAGAGAATAGACTTTCTAAGGAGTTCTTAAATAAAACATGAGTGTTGTAAGTTTGTAAACGTAAAGTCATTTGCACAAAGTACTTAACAATACCTTCATTTTGCTACAAATAAGCAAAGTTGTAGCATATTTCACTAACTTTACCTTGCATTCAATACGTAGAGAAATCTATATTATTAACTTTGCCAACTAATTTCTAGCTCATGTGTTATTTTACCACACACCAGCAATTTGAAATGGAATACACACACTTCACAGTTAGCTTCATTTAAAGCCTGTATTTTACAATTTGTATGGGTTTTTTTATTTAAGTTTATAATATGTACCCACAATTAAAGAATTTATAGGTGCCTACAAAACATAAATAAAGCAAATTAACATATTCAAATAAGGGCTGACTTTCCTTTCGCCTTTTCTTTTTATTATTATTTATAAGCTTTATATTGACTTCACTTGTTAGTATGTGTGGGACAAATCTTGCAACTGAATTTAAGACCACTTCTCCTCAACCGATTGAGCTGAAATTTCGTATACTTATGTAAGTACGATGACAATGCAAGGTAGCGCAAACAGAAAAAAACAATAAATTCCATGCGCGATACAAGCTTTCGAAATTATTTTGAACATTGCTTCCAATTATTTTTTTCGTTTTAGTAAAACTGCATTTCAGTTATAGCTTGTTTTTAAAAAAGTTTGTTTTTCAACAACAACTTACGTAGGTAGTTACAACCTTGGTTGGAAATAATATGGCCCTAAAATTTTTCTTCTACCAAAAACTGTTTTAAAAGAGAACTTTGGGAATTAATTTACCAGATAAATATGAGAAGACAGTTATTACAAATTATATTATATTCCGACCGAGTAATTCCAATTCTGTTACTTCAACCGTAACTTTTTGCTAAATCTGCCAAATTGTGGTAAACAACCAAGACCTAATTAATAACTCTTAACTTCCATTGAGAAAATATCGCGAGCTTTTAGAGGAAGCCACAGTAAAGATAAAACGAAAATGAAGTAGATACTACTGTCTCATTTTCTCTAATATTAACAACGTTGCTGTCTTCTGGCAGTTAGAGGTAAGATAGTCAGTTCCTCTGTGTTTTTGAGGATTCAGGGTGAAGAAAGTTAGCTTCCACTTTCGGCCGCCTATCACTTTTATCTTAAAAGCAGGCCAAGAGCCTCCTTGTTGTGGATAAAAAAAAATATAAATATTAGTGCAATTTACAATCGTCAGTCAGGCATTGCAGGCATTATTACTAAAATGTATTTGAAGTTTCAGAGTTGCAATTTATTCGCCTGCAAAATTGTTCAAATTGGGATTCGAATGTAATTCTTGGTATCGTTTTGCTAATGCTGATACTTGCTTCTTTTCTTACATTACTGCATCTTTTTGACTGTGCAAATACAATTCCCTAATTAATTATTTCGTAATTCAATCAGCGAAGGTCAACAGGGTTAGTAGACGAACAATTAAAACAGAATTGAGGGTTAAATATGGGAAATTGGCGGTCTTATTAGGGATGGCAAACATTTTGTTGAAAGCTCTCGTTGTCAAGACGAATTGTTCATTACACCATTGTAATAGGAGGAATACATAATAAGTGGGGTTATTTGGTATTCTCTCGCTTTCAGTTAATATCTGGGGGCATAATATTGAGTCCTTGAAAGGTTTTCTCGGTTAATAAACCCGTTTTTTTTTTCATGTAACTAAATTAAAAGGGGTTGGCGATCGATTACAATCTCTCCCAAATATTGTTTAAGGGTTTTAATTGAACGGACTTTCATTTAGATTCTAGTAAATATGTAGATCCCCGTTATCAAGTGGTTGTTAGTGATTTTGATTGGACTCTTTTGGTTCTGGATTTTATTCAAAACTGATACACAAGACAGTTACAGTACCGTATCAGCCTACCTATCGCTGTTACTCATGCTAGCATTTTATTAAGCTTAGATCCGAAGAAACAGAAACCACTGTCGATGGAGCAATTTCAGTCTTCCCTCACCCTGGACTCTAGATTCTAGATTATCTATACTAATATTATAAATGCGAAAGTAACTCTTGTCTGTCTGTCTTGCTTTTACGCCTAAACCTCTGAACCGTTTTTGATGAAATTTGGCGTAGAGATAGTTTGAGTGCCGGGAAAGGACATAGGATAGTTTTTATCCCGGTTTTTGAAACAGGGACAGACAAAATTCCACGCGGGCGGAAGGCTAGTTAATATTATGTTGCATTTTGGCTGCAGAATATATTTTTTTGCAGGAACCTGCATTACCGGATTGCCATGGGAATGAACGCTTACAGGGACACCCTGATAATGACTTACCGTTCGATCTTCCTCATCCCGAACTTGACCAGGGCATCCCAGTCGGAATCCTCGCTTCTGGGCTGGGAGCTAAGCGTCGGAGGTTCGTGGACTAGTGCTCTCGCTTGCGACTCCACTTTGACGAGCAACGCGTTGTCTGATAACCTGGGAAACGAGAGAAGGAAATTAATCAGAATTAAAAAGGATAGTGCCGATCCATGCATGGAAGTTGGGCCAAGTCTTGCCCAGAATCAACCCATTTTGTTCCTCAGGCCAAGAATTATTTATTCAAAACAAAACTCTTTTTTTCTCCAGGGATCGGAAAGTCCTTCAGAGACTCTTTAACTCCGTCTTACTCCAGGGAACAACGCCATAGGCATGGAACAGAAGCGTGGTGGTGCTCTTCTTCAAGATAAGATCTTATTGAAGAATTACAGACCCATCTTTCTTCTGAGTCATGTCTACAAACTGTTTCGTCTCGCGTGTAACTTTTGATATTATAAATCCTATAGAAGTAGTAACTAAAAGAGCTTGCACTGTACTTACTGGTAAGCCTGCTTATCAAAGAAGTCGTCGAATGACCTCAAGGCTTGAGCCTTGAAGCAGTCGGCCAGGTCTCCGTTGATGCACTGCTGCGTGGCCTGCTGGATGTATGGGTCTTGGTCTTCGCCTAGCCCGATCCAGTCCAGAAGTCCACGACCTTGGGCTTGGGGCTGGAATAGAAAGAAGCAGGTTATTCTAGCAGTTAAAGTAATTGCCTTGGACAATTATTATGGTAGCACTAGAGTGTCAATACCAAATACCCTTTTGGGGGACCAATTAGCACCGATATGTGACTATTGCTCAATATTCCCTTCTCTGTAACTCCTGCATAGGTACTGCTGGATCTACTACTGCCACTGTTTGATTGCCAACAAAATCCAAACAATGAGATGAACAGAGTGACAGGCAACCAATACCTTAACTTACTAGATTACAATCTTTCGTGTCATGTCTAAATTATTCGTCATTAGGACTCAAGACCGCGGGCAATTTGCCTAGGGACCTAAAGGTATAGGTACTTGGAAACCTTTTCCAAAGATAAAGTAGGCTGGTACGTGAGCCTTTCATCCACCTGATGAAAAGTGATGGCTATTTCTCAAAAATGTATATGGTTGGCAACACGTCGCCGCAATTTTCTGTCCAAAATTTCCATTGTCGCTCTCAATTTATTTGTTTACAAGCTTTTGCCTGCGGTTTCACTTGCTAGAATTTCGGTCTGTGAGAGAAAGTCTATCGCATGCGTGTCCTCATTCTAAAATTCTGAATAAAGTATCTTATGTCTTTCCCTGGGGCTCAAACTAGCTTTAGTATAACAAACCTGAACTAAATCATCAGAAGTTTAAGCGTGATAGGATCAAACTTCCTAACAAAACTTTCACATTTGTAATATTAGTAAGATTTAAAAATTACGTACTACATTATTAATCACTTTATTAATACAACGTAACATAACACAAAATAATAATTATATCGTAACTATTTGTGTACGGACGACAGCAAATCAACCTAAACACAGTGGCATTTTATCTCGTACAACACAGGCTATTTTGCAACAAAAATGTATAGCTTGATGTGCTGTCGACTGTACCTAATTGAGAATTTGCTTACAGCTGTACAAGTTCATATATCTATTATGCTAACATATTGACACAACTCTATTATGCTAATATATTGACACAACTAGGTTTTCAATTTTCATCAAAACCAAAACAAAGCGTCGTGAAAAATATTCAAGCTTTTATCGCGTTTTATTCTCAGTGTCTACTAGAACTGAAACTGAGGTTTCAGCTTTTGTAAACGTTTCAACTAACGAAAACATTGTTCAATTAAGTAATTGATGAATGAACAGTCTGTACCACCTAGAAAGGTCTGTTTCTTTGGTTACAGAACAATAAATTGTTTACTGTCTACAACTAGGTTTGTTTTGCTTGAATGGTACTTCCAATTAAGACGTTCAATTAATTAATACGTACTCGTAGTTCTACAGCAAAAATATTTGTTAAAGAGACCTATCTCAACTCAATTTTGCTTGTTAATTGCTGCTAAAGGGTTTTGAAAGGTTGTTTGTATTGCCGATTTCAGTAAATAAATAAATATCCTTGAACAATTTACACTGCGCTTTTAGGCTGGTTTAGTGTCACGCCGACTGTCAGTGCGGATCGCTCTGCACAGCCGATCTGTATTGAAATCTAGGGAGCGAGCGGTTCCTCCGGACCGCATTACTCTAAAACGCTCCCTAGAAGTTCATACAGGTTGGCCGTGCGGAGCGGGTCCGCACCGGACGGTCCGCGTGACATTAAAACCAGCCTTAGTCCCAAACTATGCAAATAAGAACAATATATAAAATATAATAGAAATATAGAATATAATACTGCCTTGGGTTTGTGACCCACGTAATTGCATAAACATAATATTTTTTCTAATTTTAGCTATATTTAATTTTAAAATCTGGTACTTAAAGCAAAATCTTTGCTTAGTTTGGGACTAGATACCGTCTTTCTAGTCCGTTTATCTGTACAAAATGGGAATTTATCTACACATAAATAATGCCATGATTTACCAAAGTAGTTAAAACCATTTCATTAGCCGCATATTACAGCAGAAAAGAATATCCTCAATCTTATTAATTAACTCTCTTCATCTGAAATTAAAAAAGAAGATGCAAAAGCTTATTACGGCTTTGAAACCATGTAAACATTGTGAATAAAATATCGGATGCACGTTCAACGTTGAGATAGTTAGTTTCTTTTTTATCAAAAGAGCTATCGTTTTTTAAATAGCGAGTTATAATGAGAATTTTCATATCTCGCATTAACATAAACTGGGAAAAACAAATAGTTGTATCCTTTAAGGATAATGTAAATAAATGATTGACTTTTGGTCGTGAACTCGTGACTTTCTTTAATAGTTTAAATAATAATAATATAGTTAAATTGCTATAACTATAAATTGATTTAATAGTAAAATAGTAGGATAGCAAGTTGTGAAATACAATTTATTTTGCTCACCTCAATTGAGCCAGCGCAATCGTTAACCAAACTATATAGTCAAAGGAAACTAACAGAAGTCCAACCTAACAGACGTCTTAATAGCTAGCTAGACTGTGACCCTTCGAAAGTTCACATAGACCTTTGATGAAATGGTCGTAACATTGACTTTGAAATGAAGCTTTGTCAAGTAAAACAACCTAATTTGGGCACCTTTATTCAAATTTGAATTCGTTAAATAGTACTACCTATTCTAGTAATGGTATTTTAATCATTTTAGATTCAATTTTGTCTGAAGACTCTTAACATCGCTAGAGAAAAGGAATATTATCATTCTATATTAAAATTTATCAAAATGGAATTACTAATGGAGCCGGATAGAAAATGTTACACAATTTAATACTAAAATAGAGTTTTATGAGATAAACCCTCCGAGAAGAAGTTAAAAGATTGTTACTACCAAGTGAGAGAACTGCCCACACTACGTCTTCCAGCCCGTAGTCGCCACTCAAGAACTGGGACTGTGGCAATGGGCAGCGCACATAGTACGCAGAACTGACGGCCGATGGGGCACCAAGGTTCTGGAGTGGAGGCCATGTACCGGAAAACGCAGCGTGGGACGTCCACTCACAAGGTGGACCGACGACCTGATAAAGGTAGCAAGAAGGCACTGGATGCAGGCCGCTACCAACCGTGCGATGTGGAAGTCATTGGGGGAGGCCTATGTTCAGCAGTGGACGTCCTGTGGCTGAAATGATGATGATGATGATAGAGAGGGTCGTGTTCCCGCAGTGGAGACTAATTGATGACCTGATGATAATGATGATGATGATGATGATGACTCACCGATCGACTGCGGTCGTCGTTCCCGAAGTTGAGCGAGCGTCCCTCAGTCTCTTCCTTGGGCGGCTGGTCGGGCAGCCGAATGCCGCCCTCGCCACTCGACTGCAGTGCTAGTGCGGCTGCTATGAGCAGCATCAGCCATCGAGCTTGATGCAGCATTGTTCACCTGTAAAGAAATTATTAGGTATTAAAATAATGTTGCGTGGGACGTCCACCTACAAGGTGGACCGACGACATCGTAAAGGTAGCAGGGAAGCGCTGGACGCAGGCCGCTACCAATCGATCAACATGGAAAGCATTGGGGGAGGCCTATGTTCAGCAGGGGACGTCCTATGGCTGAAATGATGATGATGATGATGATAATGATGAAAATAATGTTGTTTAAGCTGTAAATAAACTACCTAATTCAAACATGGGGGATATTTTTTCTTCTTCTCGCTTTGGTTAACCTTAACTTAGGCTGAGTTGCACCACCTTCGACCGTAAATTTAACGATCGGCGCTTTTTGTGTGGAGTTTGACAGATTTTTGACGTTTATTAACGTTAGATGGTGCAACTCAGTCTTAGAATTCCTTTGTTCTTCTGATTAATTTCTTTGCGGGTCCAATGACAGTTTAGCTTTCCCCCGGGACAAACTTGATCTTCACTGGTTGGATTTTTAATGGCGGTCAAGCTATAGATCCTGGCTACACAGGCGTTGCAGCGGTGGGAACGAGTGGTGGGAATGTCCCGTTTGGTTAATGATAAAGCTTGTTCTTAGGCCGCCTGGCTAATTCCCAACTCTGTGGCCATAATAATTTCGTTGTATTTCTGTAGTTAGAGGTAAGATACGGGACTATTCCCACCTCTCGTTCCCACCACTGCAACTCCTGTGTAGCCAGGATCTAGAGGTAAGATAGTCATTTATTTTTTCTTTCTTTCTTTCTGTCTTTCTTTCTGTGGTTGAGGATTACGGGATTCACTTTCCATCAGGTCAGATGCAGGCCAAGGTTTTCCCGTTGTGTTAAAAAGAGTTTTAAAATCTACGAAATATCGGGTCTCATCGCGACATTATTATGAGTTTTTTTAACACCCTTTAATTTTTTATTCTTTCAGTCTAACAGAATCGGGTGGGAAATTCATAATATTTGTAAGATAAAGAACAGCTTTGTATAATAAGAAATATTCCAAGCGTTTTGTATGATGAAGTCTTTACTTAACAAACCGAAACCAGACGAGCGGAGCTACGAGTACAATTGATATAATAAATCCAGTTATCCGTCCTACGTAAACACCTTTTCGGATATAAATTCGACAGACAATGTATAAAATTATATCCATTCAGACCAACATACTTGGGATTCTCAGGAGGATCTACTCTATTATGAATACAGGGTGTTAGACAAAGATCATCATGAACTTTAATAGTGAACTCAGATCATTAGGTAATTTTTTTGCAATAAGTCTTTTATACACGTCTTCGTATAATTTTAACCCAACCTGCTTCAGGAAAATATAGTAGGCTAGTGGTGAGAAGAAGCAGCGCAAGGAACTTAGTTACAACGATTTAATTTATATGCGAGCTACACGGCTAAAAGATTGTACGCGTTTTTGTTATTTGTACAATCTTTTACGGTGTCGTTTTTCCATTATGGTACCTGCTGTCCCGGATTCAATATCATTAGTCTTTATATCCAGGAAATTGAAGTCGTTTTTAATCATTTTTTCCACTCCTATGCCACAAAAAATAAAAGATGAAAAATAAAAATAAATGTTATCACAATTTTATTCGCAAAGACTAATCTTTAAGACATGATTTGAGTTGTTATCAACCTATCAATAATCAATTATACCCTGTATAATAGTCATATATAGGTCACGAGAAAAGATAAATACAGCCTGTTTGGGCACCTCGGGGACGCAACGTAGAGATGGGCCTTTGTTTGCATTGACAATATTTTGATAAGGTTTTGTATGTCAAGCGAGAAGAAGGTTCAAAACTAAATATGGTAACTTTAACAAAAATAGATATTTTTTTACAAAAAACTATAATAAAAGGTGATCAAAAAGAATATTACATCAACTTTCTTAAAATATGATAATTTATTTTTTATTTTAATAAGCTTAAAAATATCTTACAACTGGGTCTATACGATGTTGATTTCAATTTCCATATGTTTACGATCGCTTCGAACATCACCACTACACTGTAGCCTCATCAAAACCGTGAATTAAATTCAAACATTGCTATAATTATGTTATCCGTATCGCACAATAACACCACAAGTTCTCGTTTATTTAGATGAAAAAACCTTTTATATTTTTCCTTTTATATGACGTCATCCGCAGAGCTCTTGTCGCCGTCAATGTGCCAGCAGTTTTAGAGCCTAACGGCATATTCCGTGACGACGGCAAGAGACCTGACGGCATGACGCTCATTCCCTGGAAGCAGGGACGTCCTCTTGTTTGGGACGCAACATGCGCGGATACGCTTGCTCCGTCTCATACAGGAGGTACCTCCCTTGCCGCAGGCGCGGCGGCGGCCTCTGCTGAGTGCTCCAAGCGGCGCAAATATGCAGCTCTCAATGAGAGTTATATATTTGTGCCGTTTGGGGTTGAGACTATGGGACCATGGGGTCCAAGCGCTTGTTCCTTTTATAAGGAACTGGCAAAGAGGCTCACCGAGGTGACCGGTGATCAAAAGGCTGGCAGTTAATTTGGTCAGAGAATTAGCCTGGCCATTCAACGTGGCAATGCTGCCAGCCTTTTGGGCACCATTCCTGACTGCGGCGCTGGGGGTGAAGTATTTTTTATTTTGTAAATAGTTTTTATAATTAGTAATTTTTAAATTTTAGATTTTAAGTCATTTTAAGTTAATGTAAGTATTATTATAAAATTTATTCTTTTTTCCTTGATATGGTTTTTTGACGTCTGTAAATTTAGACTTATGCACAGGACAAAAACATCCATTGCTGGCAAAGGCCTTCCCCAAGGATTAGGAAAAAATCCCATCCAGTCACACCCTTACCAGTACCTGTATTTTCTTACTGTAAACTTGAGATTACCTAATTATTTTGAATTTTAATGTACTTTTATCCAGGCTTTTCGCAAAACATTTTCTTTTAATAGTGGTGGTGTTTAAACCTGCAGCTCTCTGGACATCACTAGGCATGTCAAAGAAAAATTCTCAAAGGTAACGAATTTATACGATAACTGAGTTACACTGTTACATATTTTTTGTCTTTCCCGGAATTTTGTGGAACGTCTCTTTCTTATTCAAAGAAACTGTTCATGTCATTGATTGTGTTATCAATTACATTTATGGAAACAAGCTGGATTAAATTTAACAGTTAATTTTGTAAAAATCTGAATTTGTATATTCTTATAGCAATACTTGAATGTGAATTTTAAACACTTTTGTTTATATCTGTCGCTCTACAAAAATACACGGTCGTTCCCTCATCTCTCTCTCTCTTTCTTATAATAATCTTAGTTCCATCACACTACTACTTATTATCCACAACGAGTAAGCTCTTGGCCTGTATCTCACCTGATGGTAAGTGATGATCAGGCCGAAGGTGGAAGCGAGCTTCACCCGGAATCCTCACTCAACCACCGAGGAACTGGCTATCTTACCTCTAACTGCCGGAACACAACAATGCTGTTAACATTGTTGTTATGGCGACAGTCTTAGGTAAGATGGTGGTAGCTAGCCAGGCGGACTTAGAACAAGCCCTACTACCAACCAAACCGAACAGAAAAATCTGCCCCACTGGGAATCGAACCCGGGACCTCTGCGTCTGAAGCAGGTGGTCTTACCACTAGACAACAGAGGCGGTTAAAATTATTATGTATCTCTGGAATAAAATTAGTATGTACATATCTGAAAAGAACCCTCCAAAAAGTCGTACGCATGTTATTTATTTTGTCACTCCTCAATGTATGTACGAATTATGACACATTGGGCTGAATACTGTGGCTTCTCAAGTAGTTGTATTATGTGCTACTTTGCAACAAAAAATGTATAGATTGATGTGCTGTCGATTACAAATTCAATGACGTCCCAGAAAATTAATTATTTGAGCATTTTGTGTAGGTAGTATTATTAGGTCATATTTTAAAAACTGTTTTTGTTGTGTGTTAAGCCGCATATAAGTCGGGTAATGATCTACGAACCAACATTTAATATAAAAGTATCTGTCATTCATATGAAAATGGAAAAGACAGTTTCAGCGCCCGGATTCCAAGCGATTCTTTTCGGGGCAGAGGACAAATGTCCTCATCCATTCTGTCGCTCGAGCGATTCCCGAAAATTCCTTATACATGTCGCGCGAGTCTTAGGCTAAGAACTCATGGCGCGATTTTCACCCGCGCCCGCGGCGGTTGCGGGCCCGCAGCTTCTGTAGAATGCAGATATGTACTTATCTACTTATGTAAAAACTAATGCACAAAATCACGACGCGGTTTTCGCCCGTTATCGGGTCCCGCTCGGCGGTTTTCAAGTCGGACAAAATGGTTGCCCGCGCGAAAACCGCCCGATTGGCGGGCGACCATTTTGTACCAGTGACTTAGCACGCGCTGATTAAAAATCGCGCCGTGAGTTCTTAGCCTTAGATGGTGAGGAATTAGCTTTTTGGCTGTGACGTCTTTGGGTCAGACTTGGCGTGACACTAATGACGTGTGACATGGATTAATCGGACCGGCTTAACCGCAGGTCCTTTTAAGAATAGAATAATTTTCTCCTTTTAATTTTACAGCTCTACTAGAGCTTTAGTCTCTTGAAGAACCAATCTTATACTTCAGAAGCTATTTTAGTTTGATTGACACAACAGAAGCTTGCTTGCTTGCTTTAGCAAGTTGACATTAGGGTTATAATTTCTTCTTTCTTTTGATCCTAGAAGAGGAAGGGAATTAGTAAGCAAATCTTTTTTTTCACTTTGCCACCTGGAATCGAACTTAGAGCAGTTAGGAATGTCAATTTCTTTCCATTGGACCAAAGAGGCATATAAAATCAATCAAGGGTAAAGTCCATAAGAGTACGCTTCTCTTATTCAAGCTTCTTCTATCGTATATTTTGCAAATATTGAGGTTAAACTCTTTTTTCAGAATGAAATAACATACTATATCTCCAAAAGCCCGAATAATATTACTTCTCAGACATTCAACAAGCTAAAACAACAGTAACTCCATCCCTCACTATATCCTTATTTTTATGTCACCTATTATATTACTTATGCTTCCTCGAACCTTATTTTATGACCTCAAGGAAACAGCTCAGAAAATAGCAAATAGAGGCCATATTTTACTACTATCACATGTATGCCATCGTGTTCAATGTACGGTGAAGGTATTTTGCCGTTTTTTGCTATACTTTCTTGTATTGAGGTAATAGAGGTTGACAGAGTAACATCGCTTCCCATAATATGACTCATTGAATAACTCTATACAGTGTGAGTCTTGTTAAAGTGCATATAATGGAAATGGGTGAAAAAAGACCCACTTTTATCGAAGGAAAAAATTACAAAAAATATCTGAGAGGGTCTTGAGGTCTAATTTCACCTATTTTCATATGTGCACTTTATCAAGACTCACACTGTATGTACTGAATGTGTGTACAAGTTTGCTAAAAATCTATCTATAAAATATTTATTTGTTGGTTACAGATTTATAGTGAAAAAAATTATAAGGAAACCTAAGCCCAGAAGACGAAGAAGAAAGAAGAACCAGATATTGACCAAGAAAGATGAAATATGGACATCGTAATATTTTAGGACAAAAATGTGTCCATTTAAGAATAGTTGATCTATGTCTTTAATGCGTGAAAATCGATGTTGACTAGTATAATCTAAATATGTATAACTCAAAGGTCTGACTGACTGACATAGTGATCTATCAACGCACAGCCCAAATCACTGGACGGATCAGGTTGAAATTAGGCATGCAGGAAGATGTTATGACGTAGGGATCCGTTAAGAAAGGATTTTACGAAACTCCACCCCAAGGGAGTAAAACGGGATCCACGCGTACAAAGTCGCGGGCGGCCTTTAGTTTACAAATAAACCTTTAAATAATAAAAATAATGGCAAATCCCGTCCATTTTGTATATTTAATTTCAAAATAAGTCTACTTAATATATTTCTACTACAGCGGAAGTGTCGTGATCCAATAAAAGTGTGACATCTAAAGAACACTCAACCGTATTGTAATTGTAATAAAGATCTTGAATTGTAGAGTCAATAAAAAACAGTAAATGCGTACAAAATTTGTAAATTGAGTTTACTTTCTTATAAATTATGCACTACTTCCTATAATGTATGTAACATTTCAATTTATCCCAACTAATCCCAACTAATATTATAAATGCGAAAGTAACTCTGTCTGTCTGTCTGTCTGTCTGTCTGTCTGTCTGTCTGTCTGTCTGTCTGTCTGTTACGCTTTCCCGCTTAAACCTCGCAACCGATTTTGATGAAATTTGGCATAGAGATAGTTTGAGTCCCGGGAAAGAACATAGGATAGTTTTTATCCCGGTTTTTGAAACAGGGACGCGCGCGATAAAGTTTTTCTGTGACAGACAAAATTCCACGCGGGCGAAGCCGCGGGCGGAAAGCTTTTTTTATATTTCCTTTATCAATTGCATTTTGATTGCTTTTTATTTCATCAAGTGTTATAAAGTAGTAAATAAGTTATTTATATATTTTTTTTTGTATTTTTCGACTTCAGTGTTTGGATTGTTATTGTTTTTAATTGTATGTTTATTATAATACTGTCAAATTGATTTTATTTAAAAACTTATTGTTGTTACATACATGCTTCTCTTGTATTTACAGAGAGACGAAATTAACCAAATTACATTCTTGCACCATTTTACTTTAACAATAACAAAAGTCTGTCTTGACTCCATACAGAAAACACCGGTTATGGTTACGGTTAAAGTAAGGTGGAGCAACTCAGGCTAAGTGACTTGTTATTGTTTACAAATTGGGAAAACACACAAAATAATCACAGCACGTTGCACATCCCTAAACAAAATTAAATGCACTACATTTAGTACAACTTCAATAGAAAGTGGCTAGCAGCAGCACAATACCACAATCGCTTCCTTGTATTAGGTAATTCAACAATGACATAAACTTACAAGTCAAAACACTAGATTACAACGGATATTATAGAAGACAGTTCTATACACGCGTTGAAACAACATGGCGGCCGAGCGAGCGCGTCAAGACTGCGCGATCGCAGCGTAAACGTCGGTATAACGGTTTTGACGCAAAATTTGGGTTAGTTCGCTCTTCGATATGGATGGACAGGCAATTGCGAATAGGTAGTCCAAGTTGATGTTGTTAGATTTTTTTCTTATCACATACATAACGGTAGATTAAATAATATAACAGTAACACAACACAGAAGTCGCTCTTATTACTTACGTGTATACTATGGAATGTTGTACTTGTTATGTGTATTATCATATGTAAATTATTAAATAAATATGCCGGTACCAGTAACACCGGTCAAATTTTAGGTAGGTACTCTAAAACTTTCAAAATCAAATCAGTCAATTTCTAATAGGTATCATACTTAGGCCCGATTCAACCAAACTTTTATCCGAGAATAATTCCTGGTTTAACTGGCAGATTGACAGTTTCAGTATTAGAAATATTATTTCCCATACTGAAACTGAGATTTAATATTTACTCTTGTTTGGTCGAATCCAGAAGCAAAATTTCGGATAGGTAATAATTGATTCCGATGACTTTTCATGTAAGTAAACCAAGGGTAAGTTGGATGTACCTATATTATGTAAAATTTACGCAAATCATTTACTTATTTGAAGGAGATATTTTAAATCTAAAGTAATCTAGAGTCACAAATTACATAGTAGTCACGTACGCTGCTTAAATAAACCAATCTCATTTTGAATTTAACGGCGCAAAATAAATATTTAAACTATGTAATTAATTCAATGTTATAATTGAGATTTGCAGCACGAATGATGAATAAAATAATTTTACATTAACCAAAAAGTAATTACTTTAATCCTAGAAACAATTTGAAAGGGTCTTCAGCTAAGTACATAATAGAGTTTTTTCTTAACCAAAACTATATCGTCAGTGGAAAGGAAAAAGGACTAAAGCGCCATTTTGGCCAAAATGAGTTATATACATTGTTGGATAGGATTTTTTTTTCTGCGTCGATCTATCTAGGTTTCAACTCAATCCGATGACTTTTTTGGCGCTTTAGCACTCTGAAAATTTTAAGTATTTCTAAAATCACCGCCCTCGTCGCTGCTAAAACGACGTGTTTTCAGTGTTTTTGCAACAAGTGTCGCGTAAGGGTTTTTTTGCTGGCAAAATATTTTTGCTTTCACAACATTAAGTATTTTTTTGTTATTTAAGAACTCGAATGACTTGTTACTTTAGCAATTCGAGCTTTTTGAGTTTTATAGTTCATTGGTATATTAGTAGTTATTCATGGTTGTAGTTCAAAATGATTTGGCGTGTAAGCAAAAGTAAGTGAACAAGATTCGATTAATTTTGGCGCTTTAGCAAAAAGTAGCCTTTTTTTAATAAGCTTTAAAGTATTTTAGCGAAAATGAGAGCATTAATCAAAGCAAAAACTATAGTAGTTAAGTATTATTAACAAAGACATCTCAAACACACTTGTGACTATAAGCACACACTACTCACTCGGGTCACTCACAAGTGCCTGCAAAGATGCAAGAATGTNTTTACGCAGATCGAAAAAAATTGCGATGATTATTTTGTGTTTCAAAACAGAATTTAAAAAAAGAAAATAAATCATTATACAGAATAATAATAATTATCGTCAGCATATTTTCAAACTGAAACAAAATTTAAATAAATGATTATATTTCAATTAGACATCATTATACTTTAATTAGTACCATAACTATGAAAAATATACAGTTATTGTCTCCTGTAAAGTTTGCAAAAAGGGACATAATTACCTAAGCAGTTTGAAAGTTAGGCTGACGATATTCGTGAGTGTGTACGAGTACCTACCTAAATGTAAATGTCTGTCTGTGCAGGTATTCAAAATATTGGTCAAATATCCGTAAACATTGAATAAAATATTTTTGATCATCGAATACAATTTTAGACTTTACTTTCTCCGTTATTATATTTTGGTAAAATCGAGAGAAAAATAAGATTTTAGATTTTNGCAGAACTCATTCCAACTCTTTGTTTGCGCCTCGCTGGTCTTCTGTGCGTATTCTTGTTGCCGCACTTTCACCTAGACAGAGAGAATAGGTTATGGCGTTGTGGTCTGAAGTGACTAGCGTTCTGTCCACTTTCTCTTTAATCCTACCCAGTAGTGGCTTACTGCACGCTGACACATCCACTTTGCTTGTGCGCAATCTGCCCTGTCGATATTTTTTGAAAGAAGAAACTGTAAGCTTCACCTAAGCTTTCGGAAACGCTGCCCCACCATTGGTTCTAGGCGTTCACGTCTCCCCCTATAATGATGTTTTGGGTGTTTAGCTTTTTCATACCGCTTTGTGCGTTATATCTAAAGCTCAATTGGATTGTCTCNTTGACACCAATCGCGTAAACTTTAGGAAAACTTGCAGCAATAAATCCTACCGGCTGCGCCAGTCAGATTTCGGGAGCGGGGTGGAAGCTTTTTAAAAAGGATTATATTTAATTAAACTAAGTGATCACGTCCTCGCCGAGTTGGAGGCGATTTAATAATGATTTAATATTGTGGCCGATCGCAGTCGTCCAGTACGGTGTTTACAATTTAGTTCTGCTGACACATCTCTTATGTGAATAACAATTCTNAGTGGCTTACTGCACGCTGTCACATCCACTATGCTTGTGCACAATCTGCCCTGTCGATATTCTTTGAAAGAAGGAACTAAGCTTCACCTAAGCTTTCGGAAACGCTGCCCCACTATTGGTTCTAGGCGTTCACGTCTCCCCCTTATGATGATGTTTTGGGTGTTTAGCTTTTTGCATACCGCTTTGTGCGTTCTTCGCAAGTGGAACTGGATTGGCCACACTCTCCGAAGGGACCCCGATCACATCCCTAAGCAGGCTCTGGATTGGAATCCCCAAGGAAAACGCAAACGTGGTCGACCCAGGCAAACTTGGCGGCGCACNCGAGTTCCTACCTAAATGTAAATGTCTGTCTGTGCAGGTATTCAAAATATTGGTCAAATATCGGTCAACATTGAATAAAATATTTTTGATCATCGAATACAATTTTAGACTTTACTTTCTCCGTTATTATATTTTGGTAAAATCGAGAGAAAAATAAGATTTTAGATTTTTGCGTTCCATTTTAACTAAAATAGATAAATACGGATTGAGCGACATTTTTAATGAGTTACATGTCAAGTACGAATACGAATACTGTGTGTCGAGGTAACGCCACTACAATGTAACATTATGACAATATGAGGGTAGTTTAAAATATTTAAGCCCACCCGAGGCTAGTTTCCTAAAAAAATATTTTTAGTCCGTCAATTTTATTATAAAAAAATATTGGACACGTATATTTTGAATTGTCAATCAAACAAATAATTACAAAGTTATAGTGCGTCGAAGTTCCGCGCGACGTCACAAAGTGCTGCACTTTTATGCTCTCAATGACGTCACGGGCCTTTTCTATAGAACTTTAATATTGATATAGATTGTCTCCCTCATAATACACGGACACAATTCCTAGTTTTAGCCTGCCTGCCTCCAGTGTTACCGCGGCCTCCGTCTCCGTGACCAGTTAGGGGTCGTGAATGACTCAATCGGTCACCGAAGACTGAGTGACTGGTTTCTGCCACTCAATCGAGTGCTAAGGTTATGTCCTTGTCCTCTGCTGCTTGCAGCAGTTCGGCAGTGGCTTGCTTGGAGCGTCTCAGGTNCATTTACAACCAACAGGTTTATTTACAGGTTATATCCTTGTCCTCGGCTGCTTGCAGCAGTTCGGCAGTGGCTTGCTTGGAGCGTCTCAGGTTAGCTCAGATGATGTTGAGCTTTCACAAATCAAATCAAATCTCCCAAAAGACCACGGACACGGTCTTTTAGGAGATTTGAACTCTGCATGCTTAGGGTGTTCTTAGCAGTATGCTGTTCTGGAAAGCGCTATGTAAGTAGTCCTACTTTTGTTTTTCTGGGCATTCATCACTTTATCACTGAATGCCATGTAGTGGTGGATGTTGGATGTGTCAGTTCTCGCTCTCGCATTTNTCTTATTTTCGGGCTGGACAGTTTAGCCATGAGTGAGTTCCTCCGCAGTTCCACTTCTTTGCATAGGGCTTTTGTATGACCTAAACAGAGGCATTTGGCGCATTTCACTAGTAGGGTCTTCTACCGGTCTTATCTCCAGACCTATGAGGACTGGCCCCGCCTCGAACAAGCGTTTGTAGAGAATGGGCGACACTTCCATCCATAGCATTGTAGCAGCGCGTTCCTGGCCTGTAAGCCCCTCGAAGAGTTTCTTATTTTGGGCCTTTAGATTGTCATCCTTTTTCACCTTTAGACCTTTGATTTTGAAGTCAAAAGTGGTTCTGACGGTCTTATGACATTGTCGCCGGTTATACTCGAGTCCGTCGATGAGACTATCAGTGTGTGGTTTGGCTTTTTTGGTGGGATGGACATGGTGGCGGCCGCGTAAGTCACCACTCACCATGTCCATCCCACCAAAGGTTCCCACCAGTGGTTGGTAGTGGTCATTGAAATTGTTAAGTGTCCCTACTTTTTTTCACTATAATTCAAAATATAGTAATTACCTACCACTAACCCGTACTCGGTTAGAAGTTATGACAATAAATTATTTATGATGTTACGATAATTAAGCATTTTTTGTCACAAAACATAATACCTATTCAATCTTTAAGTATTACTATTGCTTAAAACGTTTAATGTAGTTAGAGTTTAGTAACATTTGCTTATATTCGTTCTATAGAGTCTGCGTACGTAAGCAAATATTCCTGAGGCTCCATGGATAATATCGCTTCTTACGCAGTTTTTCGCTGGCGCATGCGACTATCTTATTTTGTAGTTTAGTAATTTATCCTCGACTCACTTATGAGGCTGTATCTCACTAAGCAATTTTGTTCTTTTATCAAAAAGGTTGTTTACACTATTTAGTACCTACTTATTGGTTGCTGGATATTTGANCCTTTCCACTGACGATATAGTTTTGAAGTGAGATAGAGTAGAGAAAAGAAAAAAAAGAAAAAAGAAAATTTAA